TTCTTCCTCCCACCAAAACCTTAGCTCTGGTAGGTGCTTTTAGCTTTGTAGCCTTTTGTTTGAAATTCTCTAAAAACTTTTGTTTAAAATGAAAATTCTTGATCTTAATGCTCTCTATCTGTTTTTCTTACTTTTTGGCAATAGTCTAATTATTAAGAAAAACAATATGCTAATAGTCACTCTTTTCGTGCCTTAGACATTATTACCTACGGAAACTTCTGGTTTGATATTAATAGATCAACATTCTGCTTGTGTGAGTATCTGGGAAATAGTTGGTCATAACTAGATTGTTGCTGTTTCTGTTATTAATAACAATCAGGTTGTCTTCCTAGAACCGGCAGAAGCACGTGCAGCTTTCCGGGGTCTAGCATACAAACGTTACAAGTAAGTGTATACATTCATTTCTTGCCTTTAATACAAAGGTGATTTTCTTAGTTTAACAAGTAGCAGTATATGTGAACGGTATTTTCATGTCATGATTGACAACAAAGCAAGATTAGGATAGCTTAAGTATTTTGAGCGTTGCCATGTGGTGGCCATGTCTTGATTGTTTGAGCTCTTGCTTTCAAATAACTTTCAGTTTCTTTTGACTAAAGGTTGAACTATTTCTTTAAAAAATATAGTCCATGCTCTGCAATCGTCTTATGTAATAGTTGCAGTTGTGGGCTTACGATTTTTATGTTGTATAAGCAATCAAATTGAGTGGTAAAGTCAATAATGGGGTCTTGGGAAATTTCCACCAAAAGAACCCCTCTTGAGTTGCAGATTATTTTTTTTGGCTTCAAAAAGTTGGCGAAGTTGGTAACTCATATTGGACACATGATCTTTTCAAGCTTGACGAAACTTGCCGTCTATTTCCTGCTTACTTTAGAAAATACCTTTCGATTTTTGATTTTGCAAGATTGAGATTTCTCCTAGCTAACCTTTTGTTGTTCTAGCATTATATCACCTTTGCTGCATTTAGTTTTTTACATATGTTGATTGAATCTTGAAAGTCTGGAATTATGAAGTAACAATTGTCCCTTTGTCCTAATGCAGGGACACTCCCCTTTATTTGGAGTGGGCTCCTGGAAATATTCTTGATCAAACAAGTGATTCAAAAAATACTCTTATCGTCGGTGAAGATGACGCAAAGAGAGTGCTGCTAGAGCAACAAGTGGAAGGAATAACAGATCCAGATGTTGATCCTGATAGAGTTGAGGTATATGAACTGTAAAACCAATGTTTCCCATGTTTATTTATAGAAAGTACTTTGTCGATAAGTCCAACGCTTGTAAGAGTTTACTTGCTAGTGGTTTATTCTACTTGTANACATTTTAAAGAAGTTTGTACCGTCAACATCATTCTTAATTTCGTTCAATTTTGTCTGTTTACACACATGGAATAGATCTAGCAGAGAAGTAGGGGACAATGGAAGAAAAAGATCTATATAAGCAATACCAATTAGTTGGATTAAGTCTTAGTCATGTTAGTATGTTTACTTTATGTCCAATGATTTTAGGAATTTTTAGTTTCGTAGGAATTTTTTTAAAAAAAAAGAAATTTTAAATAACTTATAGAGAGACTATGTCTTTATAAGGTTGCACTAAGACAGGCTTAAATAGAGCAACATGAATAGTGAGGCTTCATATAGTTGAACCCAGCTTGCTTGGGACCGAGTGCAGTTGTTTTTGTCATACAAAAAAATATGGAATATATTACACTTTCTTAAACTTAGTCTTTACATATTCATCTAATTTTTGTTTTTATTGGTAATGAACTATGGCCTGCCACATGAATCAAAGTGGTTTTGATGGATTATGGCATATAGTCTGCAAATCAAGGATTGGAAGGAGATAGGTTCGCTGTAAATCATCAGAAATAAATAATTCATAGATATGGGCTTTACTCTAGGTATCAGCAGACTGTTTAATTCTCATGGATGCTGATTCAACTGCTCTGCTATTACCAAAGATTCATGCTATTCCTAATAACTGCAAAAAAGTACAGTTACAGGAAACAAGTAACAGGGAAGAGCATTGCAGTTTTAGAAATCCCTTGTTGCCTCTTTGTTTGTTCTTCTAGCTGCCTTGACTTTCCAGGTTTCTTTTCATGTTTCAGTAACCAAATAACGTTTTTGCTTTCCACCTTTCCAGTCACGATCACTGTATGTCAAGAACCTAAATTTCAAGACGTCTGATGAGAGTTTAAAAGAGCATTTCACTCAACACATAAAGGATGGACGAATATTAAGTGCGAGAGTAAGTTCTTTTGGCTCTTTTTTATGCTGAGACTTTTACTATCTTAGAAGAATATTTCCTTCTCTCACTGCCTGAGAAAATGACTCATCTTCCTCCGGCACCTGTTAATATTATTCTGTGAAGGTGAAGAAGCATGTAAAGAACGGAAAGAATGTCTCAATGGGTTTTGGATTCATTGAGTTTGATTCTGTTGATACAGCAATCAATGTTTGCAAGGATTTGCAGGTAATCTTTCTGAATTTTTTTAACATTCTATCCATACATTTGGGGCACTTACAACCAATTTTTCAACTTCCCCATCTCTTGTCATTCAGGGCACTGTTTTGGATGGTCATGCACTTATATTGCAACTTTGTCACACTAAGAAGGATGGTCAACTTCCAAAGAAAACTGAGAATGACAAGAGCTCGACTAAGTTGCTTGTTAGGAATGTTGCTTTTGAGGCAACTGAAAAGGATCTCAGGCAACTATTCAGTCCATTTGGGCAGGTAATTCCTCTAAAAGTTGGTATCTTATGGTGATACTATGTAGTAAAAAGGTGATACTAGGTCTTTTGGTGTTAAAATCGCCAAAGCTAGATGCTGATTGAGGAAAAATATGGCTGTGAGACACGAGGATGTATTATATCCGAAGCGTTTTTATTTCGAGTCCGCGTGAGAGAAGCTTCATGTCTTGAACTCATAGAATTTCCCTGATGCTGATCTTTTGGTCCGAGTCCTCAAAAGTGAGTTTTACTGAATTAATTATATTAATTTTTTCTTCTAAGATTATCGAGATCAAGGGTTTGTAGTGTCTCTTTTTCAATTTGGTCTGAATCCTTAAAACTGACGTTTACCGATTAATTATATTAATTTGTTTCTTATAAGATAATCAAGATCAAGGGTTTGTAGTGTCTCTGTTGCAATGTGCTTTTACTTATGTAACAGTGTCTTGCTCTCACAATTTTCAATTTGGCTGGTTTAGACCACGATATAAAGCAGGTTAAACGAAATAAAAGTGTAGGATTTATGTATTTAATACCTAGAAATTGTTAATTTTTAATGAAAGATCTATTCTGGTTATTTAATTAGCATTCTTATCGTCTGATATTCAAGTTAGAATTTAGTCAATTGTATAATTAGGAACTAATAATCAATGAAAAATCAATTGTGACTATCAAATAAAAGCTACTTAACCGTTTTGATATTCAAGTGGAGAAGGATAGAAGGATGGGCACATTATCCTTGGCTCTTAATCATTCTAAAATCCGTTGAGTACTACATATTCTTTTTGCTGTGATGTATATAACTTTGATTGGAACAACAAAAACAGATCAAACTATAGTGTCCCATACTTCAACTTGCCTGGTAGCCTGTTTTATGCAGATTTAAATGAGCATCCGGATTCCCTCTGCTTTGTAATCTTTTTGGTCAAGCGTCGTGGGTAACAGAATTAGTTATGGAAATCATGAGTCTGAAAAATGTTAATTTAGACAGAATGATGCATGGTAGGTGATCTAGCTACTAGGGGCTAGGGCAAGGAAAAACCATTCCAAGTGATGCTTTGATTCCGTGAAAGTCTGACATGTATGCTATTTTTGTTTTGCATTCATCATCATTATTTCGTAGCTGCTTAACAATGTTTTTTTTCTTCCTTTTGACATCAAATTAAATTCATCCTACAGATAAAGAGCTTAAGGCTGCCGATGAGATTTGGGAACCATAGAGGTTTTGCATTTGTAGAGTTTGTTACGAAACAAGAGGCAAAGAATGCCATTGAAGCTCTATCCAATACTCACTTGTATGGGCGCCATCTGGTATGTCATCTTACAATTCTCAGACATTGTGTATATCTACCTAAATATCACCGAATAATATGTTGTGTATGTGTATGTTCCATCTCAGGTTCTGGAGAGAGCCAAGGAAGGTGAGAGCTTAGAGGAATTACGAGCTCGCACAGCAGCTCAATTTAGTACTGAGCAAAATGGGTTTCAAACTGCTAAATTATCCAAGAAGAGAAAGCACATGGCTGTATTGGACGAAGGGAGTCTTAAATTTGAGCGAATTGCTGATTAATACTTCACAACTCTATATGTAACACAAGGATGGGTTTTTTTCTTTCCCTTTTATCCCGAATCAGTTGTCTTGTATAGGTTAAAGCTACAAATTTTGGCAGTCCTAATGGCAAATGGTACTAAGACCAGAGGTTGTTCAATCGTGTTCACTGAGTAAAAGAGTCAATCTCGTTAGAATGTGGGTGGCACTTGAGAGTTCTCTTGGTTTACAAAATTAACCATTTTTTGTTTGGGACAAGATCCACTCAGAACTTGAGTTTTCCAGCTTCGTTCATTAATGTACTGTTTTGATATCGTTCTCAGTTTGTATTTTAGCTCATGAAAAATTTCCACAGGCTCTGCTGCAAAGTTAATCTGTAATTCTTATGCTTGTCAGTTTGTGATGAAATGATCAAAGTAGGTAAACAAAGTTGGATCCTTTTGACTTTTCGTCTGAATAACGGGGGTTAATAAAAGATTGTGTTTACTATACACCATATAAACATACAGGCCCGACTGATGTCAAAAACTAAATGCACAAAACGAAAGAATAGATGAATAATATTACTCCTACAGTCCTACTAAATAGACTCACTTGCGGTTTCATACTCATGTTCTTCTAACATTTTTTTTCTCGTATAGTTACTCCTCTAATGTAATTCTGCTAAACCATTCTCTTTCTCTCCTAAGTTTCTCCAAATATAGGAGAGCAGAAATTGGGTATTTGTTCAATAAAGCTTCAAGACACAAGATATCTGTAAAGAAGATTTTTCACCAGCGGCAACCATACAGGGTGGAAACTTGCCAACCACAACCCTCTGAAACTCTCGAGTGTAGTGATCACAAGAATAAATAGGGGTGAAATCAGAATCATCATTAGCTTTAGGATTAGTCAGCAGTATCTCACCTGTTGGAAGGTTACCAACACTGCACCAGCTCTCTCTATTACAACTGACTATTTCTTCAGGTAAGGTTATGGAATATTGAATCCAGCAACGCCGGCTATTCCATTCCCAGAAATTCAATGTAACTGCATCCGCCCTAGCATTCTCCAGGCATCCCACCGCCAAACATCCGTTGAAGTTCACAATTCTGGCTGTTGATAAATCTGTAAGTTGATCAAAACCTGTAAGATGTTTAGGGAGGGGGATATCATATAAATGATGTGCGGTAAGGTTAAATGCCAGTATTTTCCGGGTATTGTCCTTGCATTCAACCAACCAATACAGAAATTGGTTAATGCAAACACTTGGTGTGGACAACACATCTATCCCTGGTAGAAAACCAACAGGGCACATTTTTATCCAAGTACCGACAGTGATGTCCTCCTCGTCGTTCACTCCTCCTAGGGTAAGAATCTCTCGGTAAATAAGAACATCATGATCGCGAAGGCAACCAAGGCTAAGCAGCTTGTAGGAGCCAGTCAAGGGATCAAATCCTAAATAGAATTGACTTTTATGTGTCCAGCGGTAAAACCTAGGGAGCGGGAGCTTCCTTGTTTCAAAAGTGTAGTAATTGCAGAGAGTAAGATCACCAGCTGGGGCTGGAGTGTAGAAACATAAGAGGCCATTGATAACTTGTGTGAATCCAATTTCTGCAGAATCATACTCACCACCACCCAACTGTTGCTTGATAAAAGGAGGAGGAGGAGGAGGAGGGATAGTAAGACCGAGCCTCGATTGGAACAAGGAACTCCAAGTTGAACAACCGAAATTGGAGATGACGATGCTTAAGTTGTGAACGATATGCAGTTTATTAATTCCAGAGATGATTGAGCACCAGGTCTTTGAGACACACATGTATCTGCAGAGACACTTCAATGGCAGCCGCAACAGACCCTCCATTACCATAGCTTCAGGTAACTCCATTTCACCAGCAGACTATTGCTTTCACTAGGGTTTTTTCTGCAGAATGTACAATGCCAATTTTCGCGTACTTCTCTATTTTTTTTATTTTGGCTTTTTGATTGTATTAAAGTTTCAATTCTTCTCCTATTTCTTTAGCTTTTAAGTCACTTGGTTCATAAATTCTAGTTAAAATATTTGAGTTCTACTCTAAATAAAAAATTTCTCACCTATAAAGTAAAAATATAAAAATACAAAATTCAAATTCTAAACAAATAATAGAACGATTGTACAATAGAAAGGCAGGAAAAAATTCAATTTAATTTATTCAATGACTTTCATCTCTTTATTTGAGAGAATAGATAGCTTAGTAGGAATTATTATTAAATAATTTTTGAAAGAAAGTTTTTCATAGTATTTATTATAAATAAAAAAGTATTGCCTCAAAAAATGGGTGTCTCCCTTCACCTAGTACTATTTATTCACAATCTAATAAATATCAACGTATCTATCAATGTCCTCCACACCTCTCCAACAAGAAAATGCCTAACAACATCTATAATGATTTGTATTAGTATGAAATTATAACAGCCCAATCTCACTTTTTAAGCATTTCTATTTCGTTGCTTGATTTTAGGCTTTAAATAAGTTTATATCATGTATTATGATTTGTGATTATAAGTGCGTTTAGATTGTGAAAGGCTTGGAACTATAATAAATTATTTTAAAGATACATAAATTAAAAATAGCAACTATGCCCCTTGATTTGCATAATATCAATTTGATTAATATTACGAAACTTCAAATAGGTTCATATGGTGTTATAAGACTTGCTCGGTTTAGAACCTGGGAGGTTCAGGACATTTTCGGCACTATTGCATGAAAGTTGGAGTTTTAAGGTTCTTTAAGGGAACTTAAGATTTTATTTTGAGTTTGTGGCACTTCGCTATGTGCTTTGAGCCCTTTGATAAGTCCATATACGATATTTGGATAGTCGAGATAGTTTGGAGGATCTCATGAGGCTCGGGTGAAATTCGAAGAAAAAAGATCAGCAAAACCGGCTGAGTTGCTCATGCTAGGTCACCTATTAGCCCAATTTTGCTTTAAATAGCCCTATTTCGTAGATTCATTCTGAGTTTCAAAGTTGGAAACGATAACTTTTTTGTATATCGCGAAAGGGGCAACAAATGGTTCATTTAAAGCGGGTCAATGACACATTCGTTTAAAAGTGACTCTCACTAGGCTTTTGGACATAAAAATTATAATTTTAGAAAAAAACGTAATATTTTAAGTTAAGTTGAAAAATAATATTTGGAATTTGAAATTATGTTTGTACATGAATTTTACTCGAAAAAAAATTATAATTTTGTGAGTGGAGAAGAATGTTTTTCGGAAAAACTTGAGTTTTTTTGGTTTATGAGATACTTATTTTCGGAAAATCTTTAATAACTTACAAATTTTCATGGACAGATAAATTTTGAAAAAAAAATTCAGAAAAAAAAAACTATAGACAAACGGTGTCTCAATGTGGGAACATGTACAATTTGTTAATTTGACGTCAAAATTCTTGGTTCATTAAAGTCTATCAAAGACTATCAGAAAAATGGAAGAAAATAAAGAAAAATAACAAAGAGGTGTTGAGTGCTTGTTTGAGTGTCTTTGGAAACAACTTTTCTACTTGGATAAAATAAAGTTTGCATACACATTAATCTTCCTAAACATTACTTATAAAAATATATAGGAGTATGTTGTTGTTGCCCCACAAAAAGGTGTTTGAAACTTCGAAATTGAATGGTCTTTTTTTTCTTTATCAACTAGTGGTTTCTTCTCGCAATTATAAAAAAAGAGAGAACAAAGTGAGCTGGTAATAATGCGATTGCAATAGTTTATTTATTTACTAGTAAATTACCCGCGCTTCACGCGATGGTAATAGAATTTTGTTGAATTTATGATGCAATCTTCTCCTAACACATAATTATAAAAAATGGTACTCCTTCCGATTCATGTAATTGTTTTTGTTTTTTTTAACACATTTTAAAAAAATTAACTTTTAGCATTAATTAACAATAAAATTTACTATATTAACCTTAATTTATTCATTGAAAATATAACAAATACTTCTAGGTTCTTTATTCCGATGGTAACTTTAGAAAAAATAAGTTAATTCCTTCTTGATATCTGAAAAAATCAAATATTTTGGACCACAAAAAAAAAAGTCAAAAAATCATTAAAATGGACCGGAGGGAGCAATACTTATGTTTTGGGGAAACTAAAGATAACTCTATAGTTGTAGCGTAGAATACTTCATAATATCTTACCAAATCTATTCAACCGTAATTGAAAACAAACTATTCTTATTTTGAAGCACCAGCGACACTCAATACTACCAATTTTCTCCCATCACAAGAGCTTAATTTTCCAATGATTATACAACCAATTTTCACCTATTTCAAGAGCTTAATCTCGTAACAATTTCTTTAGCTTCGGTTATAATAGTTTTTACGCTATTTGCAGTTTTCCAAGTCAAATCAATAAGTGATATATTAAAGTGCTTATCTAAACCTCTGAATTGTTCTAATACAATCTAGTTCGAAATGTAAATTCTGACCTTAAAAAAAGCTATAGCTACATGTCAGCAAAATCAAAATTCAAACTACACTTTAACTTTGATCCAACCGGCAAGTCTAAGAGTCTGTTTAAGTAAAAACAACCATGTATAAAACAATACGGTCAATCAGTTGAAGCCAGTTCTACAAAACTCAAAAAAAGGAAAAAGCTGCAATGACTCTTCATTTATCTAAAAATATTCATTCCTTTTGGGTAGTCTTGACAACAACTAAAACAACTCGAAAGCAAATATAGTATATTCGAAAAAAATATGCTAGAAATAGTAAAAATAGGCGGAATGCTTCAATTGATGAAGCAAAACACATATGATACGGAGATATATTACGTATGAAATAAAATCAAAAAATATACCACACGTGTAATGCCTCTCAAAGGCTGACTTATTTTTTATTCATAAAATTGAAACTTACCATAAGCCTACCTTCCCAAGTTCTACATCGGATCTTATAGTAAAATATGTTAAATTATCTCAACACACATCACTTCAAAGCAAAAGTCATCGAACATTTGAACCATATTGTTGGAGCTCGTCTTAGCTAAAAATTTCTTCAGGATCATGCTCATGACCCATCGCCATATGATACCTCCAAAACCACGCTAAAGAAAACACCTTACGAAGATTCAGATAAATGTAAAAGATAATATTTCCTAGTTATATTAAAATTGATGCACAAACACTCTTGAAATGTCATAATAACCTTAAGCATAGAGAAATCACTAACCTTGTCATCCATATTAGTAAGTAGTAACTTTCAGCTTCAAATCCTTTGTCTTTTTCTTCATTTTACATAATCTACAAACCAAAACAATAACAACTATAAAGAAGCTCCAAATAGGACTAATCCCTAAAACATAAGACTTCAAGAAACCTTCCACCATACTACTCCCTTCTTCTGCTCACATTCTTTCCTCATTTCTACTTCAATAACTTCATCTTTCTTCTCACCTTCAACAATTTCACACCAACACTCTTCCAAAACTTTCTCCTTTACACTTTCCATTTCTTCAATTTCTCCAAAACCCACATGTAATTTTAATTTTTCCATCTTAAACCAAATTGTTGCCTTCTTTCCCGTTGGTAGTTATCACATCAAACAACTTCTCGACTTCACGATCAAGAATTCCGAATACTAAGATACATGAAACGCCAATAAAACTAAAAGAGATAAGCAAATCACAAAATTAGGGGGGAAAAAGGAGATTTACCTTTGGCGTTTAGCATGGCTAAAGTTCCAGCTATGGTACATTACTTACTAACCTTCATAAAATCAAACAACTTCAGTTTAATTAGATCTAGCTCGTTGAACTCAAAAAATTAAACAAAATAAATATGTTCTATGTCACAACCAATCAGATCCATCCATAAATACTACATGTTTATCAAAGGACTGTTACTTGGTCAAGAAAAAAAGCAAAACACAACCATATGAGTCTATCAATTGCATATACTGACTTTAATACTCCATGTGATGTCAAATGTTACAGAAATATCAGATTCAGACCAAGTTGACACACCGATAATCAGTGAATAAATCTAAGAAATAATTGGCATACACAATTTTGAAATAGATGGAGTCTTGAAGGTTTAAACAGCGAACCAGATAGGATACCATCAGATGCATGCCAAGTAGAAGGTTCTTTATACCACAACAACAAATATTACAGTGGAAGTTAGAAAAATTTCACTAAATAAGAGTGTGATAGTTGGATGTTTACCTCAAAAATAGACTATCTTCAATGTGTGGATGGACTTCATAAATATGGGGTGCAACAATGTGGGTGTTAAAACCAAAAGATCTGAAGATCAGATATATTTTGTTAGCGAGATGGACATCAAGTTTATTTTTTTTAAAATATTGTGTCGTAAAAGAATAGTTACTTTTGGGAGACATTGGTTTGATAAGCCTTGTCGATTTTCCAGCCCAATTCCATCAAAACTTCAAAATCAATTTCAATTGCATAAGGTAAATTAAAACCTTGTTAAAGTTTTCCCTGCCTAATTCCATCAAAATATAAAACCAATCTCTTAATTGAATAATAAAATCTTGTTAAAGTTTGACTTTTCTGCAATATTTGACATAACCTCTTTTGGCCGAGTAATATAGGCAACATTTGTTATCTGTACATAATTTTTTTTTGGTTTCACCTACTTCATGTGCTTCTTTTCGTTTTTACTTTTCCAGGGCCCTACCGCACCATTAAAAATATAAGAATACAAAAAAGGAAAAACAAAAAGTTAGATAATGATCAGAAGGTGAAAATTCGGCCATCTTTATGTATGAGCATGTAATGGACTTGTAAAATTGAAACACCAAATTACAAGAACAACACGGAATCGAGTAACAATGGTTTTATTGATCGAATTCGAGCTTAACTACATTGAACAATTACAACTT